GGTCGCGGGGTGGGTCGCGGGTGGGTCGCGGTCGCGGGTGGGTCGCGGGTGGGTCGCGGGTGGGTCGCGGGTGGTGTCGCGGGGTGGGTCGCGGGGTGGGTCGCGGGGTGGGTCGCGGGGTGGGTCGCGGGTGGGTGGGTCGCGGGTGGGTCGCGGGTGGGTCGCGGGTTGGTCGCGGGTGGGTCGCGGGGCGGTTGCGGGTGGGACGACGACAACAAACAACAACAACAACAACAACAACAACAACAACAACAACAACAACAACAAACAACAACAACAATTACTAGCACGTGGGGACACTCCGTTCTCACCAGTGCCAGGGTTTTCATAGGAGGCGGGCAATACCCCCACTTTGTGGGGGGGCCGGTTCAAGCTCTACCAAATTTCCAAACGACTCTTCGCCACCACCCACACCCAGCTTCCCGCCCTATGACGTTCGGACACTTCACTTCGTGGCATGCGGACGACCGTGGCTACTATTCAGGGCCCCGCGGCCGACGACGACGGCGTGCGCGCGCGAAGAAAAAACGAATGTGTCCCGCATGGTATTATTTGACAGGGATGATGGCCCTGGCAGGTGCGCAACCGTTGTTGCAGAAGTTCGAAAAAGTTGCTCGCAAAAGCCCGTTTGACAGAAATGTTTAAAAAGTGTTGGGTTTCCTACGAATCCGCAAGAGCGCGCGGGATGAATTTTGACATTTTTTTTTGAAAAACCATTGGTTTTTTTATGTTTTATGTTAAAATCGCTACGAAAACTAAGGTTTTGGAAGGATTTCGTCTTGCGCGCGCGAATGTCCACTTTACCTTATTTTTGCAAGGGATTCTTGAAGTTTGGTTATGCTAGAACAAGAAATGTCCACTTTAGCTTATTTTTTGCAAGGGAAAACCGATCGTAACAACACAACCGGATCCGGACCAACCCGTTTTGCCTGAGACTTCCTCACGAAAATGATGAAAATGAGGCTGCGGCCTAGGCGCGGCGGGGGGGTCGCGCACCAGGGGCCCCAACAATAATTATTCTTTAGAAGTAATAATGTTCAACAACAACAACAACAACAACAACAACAACAACAACAACAACAACAACCAACAACAACAACAACAACAACAACAACAACAACAACGAGAATCCGCACCGCGGAATTCCACTTCAGCCACGCACTCAGGGACAGTGAATGACCGTTCGGCCCCCTCACTCTGACATGAGTTAAACTTTGCACGGAGGTCCGTTGGACTTCGGGCGTCTGGACCTTGCCAGAGGCCTCCCTGCTCCCTCCACCAGCTGCCAGTCCGAGGGTTGGGGCCCGAAGACTTTCAAATGCGCACGCCTGTTTGCGACGGGGTGTGAAAAGTTCCGCCGCTCCTGGAGAGTCCTAAGGGAAACCTCCAGGAACATCTGCCTTCCTGGTGCGGAAGGCCCTGGGGCCGCGGACCAGAGATCTGGCCCAACCTGCCCCCCCCTCAAAACGCAGTGGGCACCCACAGAGAGCTCGAGGACAACATCAACCAGACGTGGTTCGTCATGGGCCCCAGCGGTAGCGCACGCCAAAAGATTGCCCCAACAAACCACCCTGATAGCAACAAAAATGAAGAAACGGATCGGGGGGTAGGTCGGTCGGCTACATGGGACAGGGGCGAAAGCACGGCCATGTGCATTTCCTGTTTGCCAGAGGTCGTGGCCGTCAGGAATAAAAATGGAGCCAGCATTGCGGCGTGGGCGCGATTCGTGAATAAACTGTGAGGCGAGTGGCCCAAGACGCCTACGATGGCTCGAAGACACCCCAAAAAGCGTTCGAGACGCCCCAAGAGCCTTCCCAAGAGGGCCCCAACAGGCAAAAATCAGTGGTATCCTTAGGTGTTTCATTGTTCGGTGGGTTATCGTTTTCTCAAACTTCCGACGCTCCAAGACGGCCCAGGGTGCCTTGTAGACCGCCCCCAAATTGCCCAAGCGTCCCCTCGGAGGGCCCCAGGGCGGCCCAAGAAGGTTCCCAGGCGGCCCACAAAGGGGCCCAAGACGACCAATGATTGCCCCAAGAGGGCCCCAGGACAGGCGAGAAGAGAACATGAACCGAAAATGCTATCTCTCACTCTCTCTCAGCCCCAATACGACCCACAAAGGCCCCAAGAAGCCCCCTAGCGGCCCAAGAGAGGCCCCCAATGAGCCCCAAGAGGCCACCAAGAGGCTCAAAAGAGGCCCCAAGGCGACCGCCAACGCGCTTCAAAACTGCATCCAAGAGGCACCGCCAGGCTCTCGAGACGCCCACAATAACCCCCACATAGCGCCCAAGAAACCCACGACGTCTCAACCGTGGACTCCCCGCCTCCTCAGGGCATCGGCGGAATGGCGTAAGCCTCTTGAATAAATTGCTAGGAAGTCTGAAACGAAAATGCTGCTGGACCGGGCGGCCTCGGGTTGTCCGTCCCCCCTGCGGGACTCTTCTGTTGTCCTGTGATAGCACCAGTCAAATCCTCTTACCGAAACGCTACGTTAGTAGCGAAAGAGTGGACTCCTCCTCATCCTCATCCTCATCCTTCTCCTCCTCCTCCTCCTCCTCCTCCTCCTCCTCCTCCTCCTCCTCCTGCTTGCCGTGGCGCGGCGCCAGCAGCCAGCACGTCGAGCTGCTGGGCGTTCGCCGGCAGGCAGTCGAATGCAACACAAATCTTTCGGAGGCTCCATGGCGCTGCCAACGACTCAGCCCGGGCCGAGGGGTCGCCCACGAGGGTGCGATGTTGCCCCGGCGTCGGCCCGGACGCTCGCGGAGGACCTTTTCCCCGGGGCCCCAGCCCAGCGAGGCAGCCCGCGGGCCCGGCAGCTGCACGCGCCTCCCTTGTGGAAGGGCATGGGGAGGAGGGGGAGCGGAGAGTGGCTCAACAAGGGGTCGGAATGCAGACCGGGTGACCGAGGGTGGGCCAGCACGCCGCTCCCACTCCCACTCCCCAATTGCTTCTGCTCCTGCTCCTGCTCCTGCTCCGTCTCCTCCCATTCCTCGTCTTCCTGCTCCTTGTTCCCATCCTACTCCCCCTCCTCGCCTCCCTCCTCCCCCTCCTTGTCCTCCCCCTCGTGGTCCTCCCCCGTCCCCCTCCTCAGCCCTCCCCCCTCCTCAACCTCCTCGTCCGCCTCGCGTTCCACCGTCCCCCGCCCTTCGCCCCTCAACATCTCGGGCGCCCTGATCGCTGGGGCGCCGTCAGACTCAGACCTCGCCGCGGCGGCCGGGGCAGCCGCCGCAAGGCGGGTGGGGTGGGGGGGGAGGCGATCGGTAAAAAGAACATGTTTCCCGCCGGAAGCGAGCCTGAACCCAGTGAGCTTGTCACCACAGTGCGCAGCAGAGAGAGCGTGAAACTGGAGGCGGAGGATGAGGACAACGCAGAGACCGTAGAGAAGGGGCCCAAAGAAGCGCCAACCCCCAAAAAGAGGGGCCAACCAGATCGGTGAAAAGAATGCCGGGCGGGCAGGAAGGACCAGAGCACCGCAGGGACAGACTGTCGGGAGCGGCCAAGAGGGGGGTGTCCAAGAGGGGGGGGTGCAAATCATGACCGGCGGCATGTGCGCGTCCCAGCGGGGGGGCCAGGGACGGAATGAAATAAGAAGAGGCGCCATGAAATCTGGGGAAATATCATGGCCCACCCAATCATATCCACCCCCCCCCTAATCATCACCCCCCTCTTTTCCGCCCCCGAGGAAGGACCCGAGCACCGCAGGGACACACCGGCCAGACGGGAAGGACCGGAAGATGTGACCGGTCAGAGCTGGCCGACTCGGGTCCCGCGTGTTTGCGTGCCTGCCGAGGGTCGAGTGCGAACGCCGGGTCCCACCGGAAGCTGTCAACCTGACAGAAGAGGAGGGCACGCGTCTCACACCAGCTGGCCATCGCTCGGACGTCCATTTCCTGTGTTTTTTTCGGTTTCGTGCGTGGTTGTTTCGCCAAATGATCAAGGATGCTCCTCGATGGCCCTCGCCGAAGGAAAAATGCACACGTCCGAGCGATGCCAAGCCAGAGCGCGACTGTCACCAGATACCCTGAAAGCCTGCAACCCGTCGGTGCGCATCATCTACACCGACGAGGAGCGGAGGCGGGGAAGATAAATGCTGAGGAAGGCAAGTCCATGAGCCCGAACCGAACCCGAACGAACGGGAGGTGGCCGAATCGCAAGGCGCCCCAGGATAACTCAGTGCATCCGAATTGATCAACTCAATGGTCAGGGGAAGAGGAGACTGAGGAGGAGGAGGAGGAGGAGGAGGACCAGGAGAAAAAAGGGGAGGAGGAGGAGGAGGAGAGCAACAGGAGCAGGAGGAAGGCGGGGGGAGGGGGGGGGGCGAACCCTCAAAGCAAGGGGCAAGGCAAGGCGCGAACGACCCGGGTCGAAGAACCCACACAAGGACGGCGTGGCTGCCCAGCCTCGGACCCCATTCAGGGGCCAGTCGCAGGACGGGGCGCGCCGTAGAATTCCCCGCCTTCTCCGCCTGCTGATGCTCCTGGCCACGGAGGAGGAAGCAACTGCGTAAGCATAAACTTCGGAGCTCCACGCGGATCTGCGGGATCGGCGTTGGGCCCCCCACGGCGGCGCCTCCTGCACACCCTCCGCCGCGCTCCGCGCGCCAGGGAGGAGTCCCAGCGCCGATCCGAGTAATCCGCGCAGACCTCCGAAAGGTTAGATTTACGCAGCTGATGTGCATCTTCGAGCTCATGCTCGGAGCAGGCGGTGGAGGCCAAGCGCACCGCGCACCGTTCTGCCAGCGCCCCGTCTGAGCGGTTCTGGCGGTCAGAGGTCTCGTGTCCACGGGGATCAACACGGCTGGGACGGCTCCAGCATGAGAGAGGGTGCCAAGCGAGGCGAGGCAGGCTGAAGGCACCTCGAAGGCCTTCGGTCCACGAGAATCCCCCATCCTCCACCACGGCTGGATGGCAGGCTCCAGTGTTAGAGAGGGTGCGAATGAATGCTCAAGGCACCACCAGTGGCCGGGCGCACAAACAAGCAGGTGCCCCCTGCCCACCGCCCTCCTCGGCATGCTCCATGCGGTCCAATTCGCAGACCTTCACATCCACGGCGTCGCTGCCTCGCGAGAGGCGCCCCTGCTGCAACACAGACACACTTGCTGTCAGGACCCGGCAAGAACAAGACGGAGGAGAAGCCAGAGGGATGACGGAGAGGAGGAGAGAGAGAGAGAGAGAGCGAGAGAGAGAGAGAAGCGAAGTTGACGGTAGATAATGGCGACGAGAGCGTCGAACCGTGGCTTGACAGCGGCGCCTGGCCTAAATTTCATCACCGTACCATCCCTAAAACACACACGCACGCATCCACTTTTTGTTCCGTCGGCGGCTAGGCAGAGTCACTGCGCTGGAGATGGGGCGTCCACGGACACGCACAAACACACACACACACACACTCGCGCGCACACACACACACACACACACACACACACGCACACACACACTTCAAATATACACACACGCACACACACACACACACACACACACACACTCACACGCCATCATCATGCTCCTCATCCCTTTTGTTTGCATGCATACTCCTCCTCGTCTTTCTCGTCCTCCTCCTCCTCCTTCTCCTCCTTCTCCTCCTCCTTGTCCTCCTCCTTCTCCCTCCATCTGCGAGCTGCGAGCTGCGGACGTTCGGCACCCTCCTCCTCCTCCTCCTCCTCCTCCTCCTCCTCCTCCTCCTCCTCCTCCTCTTCCTCCCCTCTCTTGTTTGTTTTTTCTCTCTCTCTCTCTCTTTCTCTCTCTCTCTCTCTCTCTCTCTCTCTCCCTCTCCCTCTCTCTCTCTCTCTGGGCCGTGGTGCCATCCTGCCGCAGCCCTCCTCCTCCTCCTCCTCCTCCGCCTCCTCCTAGTTCTATTCCTTCTCCTCCTCCTCCTCCTCCTTCTCCTTCTCCTCTCTCCTTTATTCCTCCTCCCTCCTCCCTCTTCCTCCTCCTCCTTCTGCAGTCATGAAGCTAACGTTCGAGCTGACGACACATGTGATCGCTGCGGCACCGACAGGGACACCCCCCTGCACAGGTGCTGGACTTGTTCAAAAAAACAAGGATCGAGGGCCTTTGATGAGTATGACGACCTCCGCCCGCAGGCAGTCGTTGAGTCTGAGGCCTTCCCGTGCTTGTGGATGCGAGGGTTAATTCCCTCGGCGTGGACCTCCATTCAGCCTCCTCCCTCGGTCGAGCTGACTTCTGGAGGCTGCCTTGGGAACGACGGTCTCAGGGCTGGCTGTCTGGGCGTAGGGACCTCGGTGGAGCCTCTAGTTGCCTTTGGAGATGCCTCGTGAGGCCGTGACACCCACGACCCACGGCTGAGGCGCGTAGGTATAGGTGTTGCCACGTCCACTAGCTACAATCCTCTTGTTTTGGGGTCCTTCCTCATGGGGCCTTTCGTAGGAGCTGCCCAAAGCGTCCCTCGAGGGGAGCTCCGAGCTTTTGAGTGGACCCTGCGCTACAGCGAGGGTCCGCTCATGTATGTGACAGATTGTGATGAATCAGCTCGCGGCTGGTACGCTGAACTGGTTCGGAGGCCCCAGGGTCCGCAGTCTGACATCTGGCGTGAAATAGGTAAGTTGCTGCTGTCTCAGGGCAGGTCTCCTGCCTGTATAGTCGTGGCACAGGTCCCGTTTCATGTGTCAGGTGCCGAGGTCATCGAACGACAGGTGCCTCGATGGCTGGTGCTCGGGAATTCGTGCGTGGACGCTATCGCAGGGGAGGCCGCAAATCTTGCGCGGCCCTCGCCCGAGGATCGTCACGAAATCCACACCATCGAGCATCGTGCTCGTCTCGTTCGGAGGAGGTTGCTGCGCGTCGGCTTAGTCTCCATTCGAGCGTCTCATCTCTCTGGCGACCAGAGAGGACGAGGCGCTGGTAGAGTTCCTCCCCCTCCTCCCCCTCCCCCCCTATCGCTCTTGCACGCTTCGCGTCCGCACATACCCTGACCGAAAATGGGAGGGCGTGCAGCGTGTGTAAAGGCTTTGCGACCAAGGCTGTGTTGTCCGAATAGCTAAAAGTAAGTGCTTCCAACTCCAGCATCTGTGCAGCAAGCTCAGTTGTGTTCCGAGGGGGCGGCGTTTACACTTGGCACTTGGCTGGTGGTTGGTTGGACTCATCCCTCACACGCCTTGACCTTCCGCAAAGACCTTAAAATCTGGTTTTGCCGCACATGTGGGTTTTTCGGCCAGGCTCAGCTCAGGGGCCTGGGAGAACCGTGCAAGCTAAGGCCAGGCGCGAGTACCTTGACAGGATATCTCGCGGCCTGTTTCCGAAGTGCTGAACATCTTAGCCTGGTTATCACTACGTGATGGCGGAAATCCTGGAAATCCCCATCCTCTCATCCTCTTTCATGTCTTTTCCTTGTATATATATATATATACTAGAACCATCGCGCGCGCTTCGCGCGCGCTCAGGTTCTAGCCCAGGCCTGGGGGGCGCTGGACGATCTTGGACAACGATATCAAGCACAGGCGCGCGACGGCATCTGAGGAGCTTCTGGGGTGTTCCGCATGCTTCGTCAACTGGCTGTTGGAGGCACCTCTTGGGTGCTTCTTGGGGGGGCGTCTGAGGGTCCCTTGGGGGCATCGGTTCTGCAATCTGAAGCCGTCATTGGCCGTCTTGGCTGCGTGGAAGCCCGACTTGAGGCCACCTGCGGCCAGATTGAGGCAATCCGGAAGCCTCCCGGGGGCCTCCTGGAAGCAGTTTTGACGCATCGAGGGCACTCTTGGGCTATCTTAAAGCCTCTTGGACGTCTCCTAGGGGCCTCTTAGGCCCTCGGGAAGCTATTGGGGTCCTCGTCGGACCACTTGGGGGCCTCTTGCGGCCTCCTGTGTGCCTTGTGGGGGGACCGATCTGCTGTTGGGTCGCGTTCCCCTTCTTGGGCCTCTCTTGGGGCTCTTGGGGCCCTCTCGGGCCGTCTTGGGCGCCTCGAGCACCGTCTTGGGGCCCTCGCGGGCCGTATTGGGGCCCTCTTGGAGTCCTCTTCCTCTATATAGGAGCGGTATTGGAAGCCTCTTGGGCCGTCTTGGAGCATCGGGATGCCAAAAGGCCGAAAACATTAAAACCCGTCAAAGCCCAATCGTAAAACAATGAGTTGTGCCTCTTGGGGCCACCTTGGGAGATCTCTTGGAACCTCGTCGGCCCTCTTGGGAGCTTCTTGGGGGCCTCTTGGATCCGATTGGGGGCCTCTTGGGACTTCCCGAGAACCTCTCGGGGTAGAAAGCTCGGATTCTCGGTTCGTGTTTCCCTTCTTGGGCCTCTCTTGGGGCCGTCTTGGGGCCCTCTCGGGCCGTCTTGGGCGCCTCAGGCAACGCCTTGGGGCCCTCGTGGGCCGCGCAGGGCGCTCTTGGAAGCCTCTTCGGCTACCTTGGAGCTGTCTGGGAGGCCTCTTCCTCCTCCTCGTCCCCCTCCTCCTCCTCCTCCTCCTCCTCCCACTCCAACTCTCTCTCCTCCTGATCTTCCTCCTCCTCCTCCTGCAGCGTGTTCCGGAAGGCTCCCGCCGGAACATGCTGTGCACAAGTGCTGTCACTGCTCCCGCCACCGTGCCCTGGGTGGTGGGTCAGAGACCTCATGGGTGTTGGTGTGGATCTCGTGGTTGGCCTGTCGGGGACGTCGTGAAGGCAGTTTCGCAGCTTCTCGGTAGCCGTTTTGGGACCGTTGTGGGGCCTCCTCGGGGCTGTTTTGTAGCCTCTTTAGGCCTCGTTTGGGCCTCCTGGGTGCCTCTTGGGGGCCTCCTGGGGCCTCTTGGGGGCTCCTTGGGGCCTCCTGGGGCACTCTTCAAGCGGGAGGGTCGAATTTTGGAGTCGTGGTCCCCCTCTTGGGCGCATCTTGGGGCCGTCTTGGGGCTCTGTTGGGCTGTCTTGGGCGACTCTGGGGCCGTCTTGGGGCCCTCTTGGGCCGTCTTGGGGCGCCCTTGGGGGCCTATTGAGCCGTCTTGGAACGTCGGACAGCCGAAAAGGCTGGCAGGCCAAAATCGTTCGAAAACCTTCGTACAATTTACGATTTCGGCCTCTGGAAGCGCTCTGGAGAGGCGTCTTGACGCGTCTGGAGAGGCGTCTTGGGGGGCCTCTCGGGCCGTCTTGGGCCTATCTTGGGCGTCCTGGAGCGGTCTTTCGGCGACTCGGGGCCCGCTTGGGCCATCTTGGGAGCCTCTGGAGGCCCTCCTGGACTATTTTGGACCTCCCCGGCCGCCCCGTCCTCCCATGGGGGGTCGGAGGCGGTGGCCTCAGAGGCCCAGGACGCGGAAACCATGTAAAACCACACGGGAAATGAGCCCCGGTACCCCCATGGCGGCTCTTCGGCGCTCTTGGACCGTTGAAGCTCGAAAACGCGAGAAGCCAAGAACATTGAAAAGACCATTGAACATATACGATTTTGGCCTCTTCGGGCCGTACCGTGATACCTATCAGACTTCTTGGGGTCTCTTGGAGGCCACCTGGAAGCCTCGAGAGCCGTCGGAAGGCTGACTTGGGCTGCTCGGGAGCGTCTTGGGCCATCCTTTCGCATTCTGGGGGCTCCTGGGGGGCGTCTTGGGCCCTCCTGGAGCGCTGTGGAGGCTGCCGGAAAGGCTGGGGCAGCGGTGCCGGGAGCGTCCCCGAGATGTGGCCATATCTTTTCAGCGCGTTCCGGGAGCATCTTCCCGGAACGCGCTCGTGGCAGGGCGCCCACGTCCGAGGACGTTGGCATGGGAAACCGCAGCGCGTGATCATTCCAGCGCGTTCCGGCGAAGACCGTCCGGAACGCGCTTGGGCAAGCGCTGGGTTTGGGGAAGGCGAGTGGAGACCGTTCAGGCAGTTTGGGAAGCTCGGGGCAAGAGGCGGAAGCCATCCTCATAAGACATGCAGTCTTCCTGGAGCCGTCTTGCAAAAAACACAGAAAAACTGAGACCCTGCAGTCGTTCCTGGAGCCGTCTTGGAGCCCTCTTGGGCTGCCTTGGAGCCTGTTGGAGCCCTCTGCGGAATGGTCTTCGAGCCCGCGCCGAGGATCTGGAAAATGTCCGGGAGCATCGCGGCGGCCTTCGAGGCCCGGGACGCCGAAACCGCGTAAAAGCACAGCGAAAATGAGCCCCGGTACTGGAGGGTCGGGCAGCTGTTTTCGGGCCCCTGGGGGGCGCTGGACGATCTTGGACAACGATATCAAGCACAGGCGCGCGACGGCATCTGAGGAGCTTCTGGGGCGTTCCGCATGCTTCGTCAACCGGCTGATGGAGGCACCTCTTGGGTGCTTCTTGGGGGGGCGTCTGAGGGTCCCTTGGGGGCATCGGTTCTGCAATCTGAAGCTTTCATTGGCCGTCTTAGCTGCGTGGAAGCCCGACTTGAGGCCACCTGCGGCCAAATTGAGGCAATCCGGAAGCCTCCCGGGGGCCTCCTGGAAGCAGTTTTGACGCATCGAGGGCACTCTTGGGCTATTTTAAAGCCTCTTGGACGTCTCCTAGGGGCCTTTTAGGCTCTCGGGAAGCTTTTGGGGTCCTCGTCGGACCACTTGGGGGCCTCTTGCGGCCTCCTGTGGGCCTTTTGGGGGGACCGCTCTGCTGTTGGGTCGCGTTCCCCTTCTTGGGCCTCTCTTGGGGCTCTTGGGGCCCTCTCGGGCCGTCTTGGGCGCCTCAAGCACCGTCTTGGGGCCCTCGCGGGCCGTCTTGGGGATTTCTTGGAGGCCTCTTCCTCTATATGGGAGCGGTATTGGAAGCCTCTTGGGCCGTCTTGGAGCATCGGGATGCCAAAAGGCCGAAAAAATTAAAACCCGTCAAAGCCCAATCGTAAAACTATGAGTTGTGCCTCTTGGGGCCACCTTGGGAGATCTCTTGGAACCTCGTCGGCCCTCTTGGGAGCTTCTTGGGGGCCTCTTGGATCCGATTGGGGGCCTCTTGGGACTTCCCGAGAACCTCTCGGGGTAGAAAGCTCGGATTCTCGGTTCGTGTTTCCCTTCTTGGGCCTCTCTTGGGGCCGTCTTGGGGCCCTCTCGGGCCGTCTTGGGCGCCTCAGGCACCGCCTTGGGGCCCTCGTGGGCCGCCCAGGGCCCTCTTGGAAGCCTCTTCGGCTATCTTGGAGCTGTCTGGGAGGCCTCTTCCTCCTCCTCGTCCCCATCCTCCTCCTCCCACTCCAACTCTCTCTCCTCCTGATCCTCCTCCTCCTCCTCCTGCAGCGTGTTCCGGAAGGCTCCCGCCGGAACATGCTGTGCACAAGTGCTGTCACTGCTCCCGCCACCGTGCCCTGGGTGGTGGGTCAGAGGCCTCATGGGTGTTGGTTTGGATCTCGTGGTTGGCCTGTCGGGGACGTCGTGAAGGCAGTTTCGCAGCTTCTCGGTAGCCGTTTTGGGACCGTTGTGGGGCCTCCTCGGGGCTGTTCTTGTGGCCTCTTTAGGCCTCGTTCGGGCCTCCTGGGTGCCTCTTGGGGGCCTCCTAGGCCCGGGCTCCTTGGGGCCTCCTGGGGCACTCTTCAAGCGGGAGGGTCGAATTTTGGAGTCGTGGTCCCCCTCTTGGGCGCATCTTGGGGCCGTCTTGGGGCTCTGTTGGGCTGTCTTGGGCGACTCTGGGGCCGTCTTGGAGCCCTCTTGGGCCGTCTTGGGGCGCTCTTGGGAGCCTATTGAGCCGTCTTGGAACGTCGGACAGCCGAAAAGGCTGGAAGGCCAAAATGGTTCGAAAACCTTCGTACAATTTACGATTTCGGCCTCTGGAAGCGCTCTGGAGAGGCGTCTTGACGCGTCGTGGAGTGCCTTGGGGGGCCTCTCGGGCCGTCTTGGGCCTATCTTGGGCGTCCTGGAGCGGTCTTTCGGCGACTCGGGGCCCGCTTGGGCCGTCTTGGGGGCCTCTGGAGGCCCTCCTGGACTATTTTGGACCTCCCTGGCCGCCCCGTCCTCCCATGGGAGGTCGGAGGCGGCGGCCTCCGAGGCCCAGGACGCGGAAACCCTTTAAAAACACAGGGAAAATGAGCCCCGGTCCCCCCATGGGGGGTCGGGGCACCTGTCCTGGGGCCCCCGGCCTCGCCCCCTATATATATATATATATATATATATATATATATATATATATACATACATACATACATATAGCCAGTTTTCATGCCGGGCCCGGCGTTTCGCCTGAGACCGCCTCACCATTTATGACCCTGAAGCTTACATGTTGGCAACAGCTTCACATATGGAGGACGGGTGGTTTTCAAAATGTTGCCCTCTCCTTAGCGCCGCACACATTCTTTTAAAGCATGTGCAAAAGGGCTTCACGGATTGAGGGCGAATGGTTTTCAAAATGTGGCTATCGCCTTAGTGCCGCGTCCATTTGTTTAAAAAATGCAAGAGCCTCACGGATTGAGGGTGAATGGTTTTCAAAATGTGGCTCTCGCCTTAGCCGCGCACATTCGTTTCAAAAATGTACAAGACCTTCACGGATTGAGGGCGGTTCCTCTTCAAAATGTGGCTCTCGCCTTAGCGCCACGTACATCCATATTACAAATTCACAAGAACTTCACGGATTGAGGCGGTTCCTTTTCAAAATGTGGCTCTCGCCTTAGCGCCGCGCGCATTCGTTTATGAATGATCAACGTACCAGAAATGGTGGCTTGGGAAGGTTCAAGAGTATGAGGGCGCAACCGTTACGTTGATTCACGGTGTTGGAGTCCCAGGAATGGCGTTCTGGCACGATTCAGGATCGTCAAGACGCAGCAGTCAGGTTGATCCGTGACGTTGGAACATCGAGAACAATGTGTTGGCATGCTTCAGAATATTCAAACGGTTGTCTTCCGACGAGGCAGCTCCCTCAGTGGAAATGCACCGTCGTATGGGGCCTATGAAGAAGGAGCTTGGAGGGAGGGTTGATTCCAACATCGTTGATGATTCTTGGGTTTACACGGGTCCTCCTCCTCCTGATCCACTTTCTCCATTTCCTCCTTCGCCTCCTCCTCCTCCTGCTCTTCCTCCTCCTCCTCCTCCTCCTCCTCCTCCTCCTCCTCCTCCTTATGTTTTGCAGTTGCTCGGATATCAGGGTTAACCTTCCTCCTCCTCCTCCTCCTCCTCCTCCTCCTCCTCCTCCTCCTCCTCCTCCTCCTCCTCATCTCCTCATCATCTCCTCCTCCTCCTCCTCCTCCTCCTCCTCCTCCTCCTCCTCCCTCCTCCGTCCTCCTCCTCCTCCTCCTCCTCCTTCCTCCTCCTCCTTCCTCCTCCTCCTCCTCCTCCTCTCCTCCTCCTCCTCCTCCTCCTCCTCCTCCTCCTCCTCCTCCTCTCCTCCTCCTCCTCCTCCTCCTCCTCCTCCCCCTGCTGTGCAAGCCAGGGCGGCCTGGCGGTGGCATGAAGCCCCACACGTCGAAGCCCGCCAGCGGCGTGCTGTAGCTCAGCGCGTCGTCGAACCAGCGCCGCAGCAGGAGCAGGCTGGGATCGGCTGCGTGCAAGAGTGGGCCTAGGCAAGGGTAACCTATTCGTGCGCGGATTCAGACGCCACCGAAATAAATACACAGACACCCTCCCACGAACTTTTGCATGTACCCTCATGGAGGGCGGCGGTGTAGAAAGCCGCTGGCTCCCAGTGGTGATTTATACACCGCCACCCTCCCCTGATGTCCAAGAACAATCCATTGGAGGGTGTGTGTGTGTGTATTCTTTTGTGGCGGAATTAAGGGGGCGCAGGGTGGCCAAATCCAAGCGCGGAAGCAGCCGCTGTCGCATCGCCCTCAGCGATCGGGGGGGGGGGGGGGCCCGGTGAGCCCGCACCAAAGGTCACTCCGGCGAAGGGTCACTCTTGCGTGCAGTCGACGGGAGAGCAGCGCGGGAGGGCCCGGGCAAGCAGGACTCTCTTCATGGCCGCCAAGACTGCTCATCCCACCTGCACCCGCTCCTCTATCCTGGTCCTGAGGAAAAAATACTTGGCCCAGGGCCAGCCGTCCGACCTTTTGCCGCAGCACCTGCGTGTGAGAGCGAACTGCGTCCGCCAGATCACGCTTGCCTCTCGGCCTGCGCCCTGCGGCCGCCGGTCGTCCCTCCGGAAACTGCACCCTCCAGCGAAGGGCTGCGCCAGGGTCGCGCTGCCCGCGCGCCAAGAGAGCCCTGGACGAGCATGGTGAACGATAGAGCCGATGCTTGGTCGGGCATGTCCCCCTACAGGCGGATTTGGGACGAAACATTACAAATTGTCAAAACATGCCCCCAAAAAACATGATGGACCCACGAACCCGGAAAGGGATATAGAACCGCATGCATGGAAACGTTTTCACGACACCGTATTGGGCGACGGGCACATCCACGAGACACCCGGCGAAACATTCCACGAGACACGGGCGACCGTTCTCAACGTTTTCCTGGAAACATTCCACGAGACACCCCGCGAAACAGTCCACGAGACACCCCGCGAAACATTCCACGACGACAGGCAACCACTCAACGAAGGCGGTGTGGTCGTGCTGGGGAGTGGTCGTGCTGGGGTGTGGTCGTGCTGGGGAGTGGTCGTGCTGGGGGGTGGTCGTGCTGGGGGGGTAGTCGTGCTGGGGGGTGGTCGTGCTGGGGTGTGGTCGTGCTGGGGCGTGGTCGTGCTGGGGCGTGGTCGTGCTGGGGTGTGGTTGTGCTGTGGTGAGGTCGTGCTGGGGTGTGGTCGTGCTGTGTGATGGTCTTGCTCGGGTGTGGAGGTTTGGTCGTGCTGGGGTGTGGTCGTGCTGGGGTTTGGTCGTGCTGGGAGGTGGTGTGGGGTCGTGCTGGGGTGGGGTCGTGCTGGGGCGGGGTCGTGCTGGAGTGGCCCGCACTCTGTGATTTATCGATCGGGATTTCAAAAACAAGCGTTTCGCCTGAGACATCCTCAAATTTTAATCCGCCGGCCCACCTCGACCTCGATATCTATCAGGGAAAGAATCCGCCGGCCCACCTCAGTTGAGGCACCGGGGACAGATTTACCTACTAAAAGAGAACCCTGGGCCTGCGCCCTTTCCGGGAACAAGAATGGTGAAACAATCGTCCCCTGACTATTTCTTCACTATTTTTAAATATTCCACCTGTAAAGGGCTACCATCATCATCATGATCATCATCATCATCATCATCATCACCATCATCATCATCATCATCATCATCATCATCATCATCGTCATCATCAACATCATGATCATCATCATCATCATCATCATCATCATCATCATCATCATCATCATCATCATCATCATCATCATCGTCGACATCATCATCATCATCAGCATCAGCATCATCATCATCATCATCGTATCATCATCACCATCATCATCATCATCACCATCATCAGCATCATCATCACCCCCCATCATCATCATCCCCCAACAACATTTGACTAGATTGCCCCTATCATCGTCATGATCATCATCATCGTCGTCATCATCACCACCATCATCATCATCATCAACATCATCAGCATCGTCATCACATCATCATCATTATCAACATTACCATCCGCAGCAACAGCAGCATCGGTATCACCGGCATCATCAGATCAGCAGCAGCATCATCAGCATCAGCAGCAGCATCATCATCGTCATCATCATTAGCAGCATCACAATCGTCATCAGCATCATCAGCAGCAGCAACATCAGCAGCAACATCAGCAGCATCAGCAGCATCATCATCAGAAACAATATCATCCTCCTCATCATCAGCAGCATCATCAGCAGCATCATCATTAATAACATTATCAGCATCATCATATGATTCACCATCATGATCACCATCATCCAAATCATCGTCATAATCATCATCACCATCCGCATATCAGCATCAGCATCAAAAGTATCATCATCATCATCATCATCATCATCATCATCATCATCATCATCATCATCAACATCAGCAGCATCGTCATCGTCATCGTCATCGTCGTCATCGGCATCGTCATCGCCATCGTCGTCGTGATCGTCAGCATGATGTGATCAATTCAGAAAAAGGATTGGGGCCGGATGTGCGCAGGGGAAAAGAAACCTTGGAGAGCGTCAAGCCTCCTGCTCATCCTTCCGACGATCTTGACCAGAGTACAAGGTAAAGCACAGCGCATCGCATGTACGCAGTGCTGCGGTCATGCGTTCCACTCTGCGTGAGTTGGCGTCGGAGCTCTTGGCTTTTACTTCCCCAAGGGGCTTGTTTTCACTTGGGTTGGGGGGTGCATGATGGATCGTATGGGTGTGGTAACCAGCCCAAGCTAGGGCGCAAATCCTTTGCCATATCGGGCAGCGGCTCACCAGCGGCCCAAGGATTCAAATCGACCAAACCTTCTGAGAGCCGTCGCAACTGATTGCCGCACTCATCACGCCATCATGCTTCCTCCGACAAATCCTCTCTCACGCACAACCATCATTCTCAGCACCATTCTCTCCCCCTCCTCTATGAGTCTGACTGCTCTGAGGGGCAGCGATTGGGGGGGACTGGCACAGGGGGGGGAGCATCGACCTGGAATCGGCGATACCTCGCCGAGAGATCGGCGACAGGCCCTCGATGGCGAATCCCAGCGTTCATGGGCAGGCTGGGGCCATCGAGCCCCCATCTGCGATCAATGGGCGATTGGGGGTCGATGCATCCCCCCTATTCGGGCGTTGGCAGAACTGGGTTCAAAGGGACCTGGTTCAGTGATGTGTGCTGGGGGACGCCCCCCCCCCCCGCCCCGTTCCACTACATAACCGGAACTGCCGTCACCCGAAAAAAAACACTGGCTACGGCAGACCTGGTTTAGTGATTCTGGCCAATTTCGGGGCTCCGGGGCCCTACCACTAACCGGGTCCCCTTACCTGGGGTCCTGGCTATGCCCGACCTATGCCTATCCCCCCCTATCGTTGCCCCCGGATGCTTTCGCCAGTCTGTCGACACCGCCGCGGCAGCGGCGGCAGAGACGCCCCAGCGCCAGGCCCGCCTTGCGCCGCCCTGCCGCCAGGGCCGCCGGAGGTACCCTGGGTAGCGGCGGCCCCAGCCCAGCACGCCGGCGAGGTCGTTCCCAGTGCCCTCCCCACTCACCGGGCGAGCCTGCCCGAAGGAGAGAGGAGGAGGAGGAGGAGGAGGAGGAGGAGGAGGAGGAGGAGGAGGAAAGGAGGAGTAGGAGGAGGAGGAGGAGGAGAGGAGGAGGAGGAGGAGGAGGAGGAGGAGGAGGAGGAGGAGGAGGAGGAGAGGAGGAGGAGGGGAGGAGGAGGAGGAGGAGGAGGAGGAGGAGGAGGAGGAGGGAGGAGGAGGAGGAGGAGGAGGAGGAGGAGGAGGAGCAGGAGGAGGAGAAGGAGGAGGCGGGAGGAGGAGGAGTAGGAGGCGGAGGAAAGGAGAGGAGGAGGGAGGCGGGGAGGGGGAGGGAGGAGGAGGCGCCCTCCCAGGACCCCCCTCTGTTTCTTGGGCAGGCCGTCGGGCTCGCCTGAGCCGTGGCGTCAGCCTCTTCCCCCTCTTTCCCCTCCCGTCGCCTGCCTGCCCGCTCCCCCTCCCACCCCCATCTCCTCCCTGCCCCTCCCCTGCCATAGGCCCCCATCTCCTCCTCCTCCTCCTCCTCCTCCTCTCCTCCTCCGCCTCCTCCTCCTCCTCTCCTCCTCCTCCTCCTCCTCCTCCTCTCTCCTCCTCCTCCTCCTCTCCCTCCTCCTCTCCTCCTCCTCCTCCTCCTCCTCCTCCTCCTCCTCCTCCTCCTCCTCCTCTGCCTCCTCCTTCGCATCCACGCCTGCCCGGCCCGCCTAGAGGTTCGCCAAAACGTAGGCCAGTACACTGGGCCAAGACGCAACGCATTGACACGGACGTTTTGAGAACGCCACGTGCTGCGGTTCAAAACGGACGCATCGAGGCAGCTAAGCTCTCGGGCCCGGCGGATGGCTGCCAGGCCGGAGAGGCGTCCCCCGCGCGCCCCTCCCGCCAGAGGCATCTGGACCAATGCCGGGAAGTACGCCTCCATCTCCTCGTCGGTCCAGACACGCCGGCCCCCCAGCACAGGGCAGCATTGAGCCATCAGTGCCCTCCGCCGCTCCCCTCCCTCGCTCTGTCCCTCCCCATCTTTTGCCCCTCCCCCCGCCCTCCTCTCACCCTGCCGCGGATGAGGCGGGCTGGAGAGACAGGACACGATGAGCAGAGATGGGGCGCGAGATCCAGGAGCGCAAGCTGCAGGTCTGTCGAGAAGCCGAGCTGCGATAGCCGACGGGCGGCGAGACACCCTCCCCCACGCCACTGGCACCAATAGCCACGCGTCGCTCTCTTCCATCTCGCCTTTGACTGCCCTCGACCTGGGACGGCGATGTCAGGCCCACGAGTGGGACAATTGGTAGCGAGAGAACAGAACCTTGAAATTCCCGCACCGCCCTCGTGGAGAAGGGGGTGTTCAAATGCTTTCGACATGCGCGCGCCAGAGGCCTGTTTGGTCGCATGTGATGGGCATGTTGAAAACCAATGGCTTCATTAGAATGTACAAGGGCGCGCGCAGCCCTTTTCTGAAAAGTCTGAGTGCGAAGCCATGCGTGTTGCTATGTGATCGAAAGACTCTATTCTGAAATCCTTGCGACATCTACGGTTTTTGAATCAGCGTTGTTGTTGCACCGGATGGTGGGGGGGTCCATTTGGCCTGGCTGGGCCGGTATGAGTTCATATTTAGAATGAACGATGGGGCAAAGTCATATGTTAACTGCTCATCCCCAGGGGGATCGATAATCCCTGCCTCGGGGGGGTGCTAGATCCGAATTCCTCTTTAGAAAAGAAAATAGAGGCGCCCAGAACGACCCAAGAGGCTCCCAAGACGGCTTCAAGCGAGGGCTTCAGGCCTCTCCAGGGACCAAGGGGGGGGGCCCAGATGGGGAGCACGCACGAACGCGCATTTCCAGCCCTCGGTCCCGAGAGGCCCCCAGGAAGCCCCAAGAGGCCCCCAACAGCCCCCCAAGAAACCCCAAGAGGCCCCCAAGAGGCCCCAGGAAGCCCCAAGAGGCCCCCAAGAGGCCCCAAAACTGTTTCCAAGAGGCCCCCGAGAACGCTCCGAAAAGACCCCAAGAAGCATCCTGGAGAACTCTGACCCGCAACCCAGGCACGGTGGCGGGATGGGCCGAAGGCCATTAGATCCGCCGGCCCTGTTGCTTGCAAGAGGAGTGCCTGGCGTGCTAGACGATTTCGGTTTTGGTTTTGGTTCTTTTCCAAAAGAACTCCACCTGGGGCTTCGGCCCGTCCCGCCGGGGTGCCGGGAGGATTGCCCAGGAGCTCAAACCCGGAAAAAATCCTCCAAGACGGCTCAAGATGGCCTCCAAGATGGCCACGTTGGCCCAAGATGGCCAGGAAGATGGTCCAAGATGGCCTCCAAGTCCGCCCAAGATGGTCCAAGACGGCTTCCAAGACGGCCTAAGAGAGTCCAAGATACCTCCAAATTCGCTCAAGAAGCCTCCAAGACGGCCCAAAAGGTCTCCAAGAGGTGCTCCAGGAGGGCCCGCAGAGGCCAAAATAGTCGATGTTCCTTGGGTTTTTGAAGAATTTGGGCATGTGCCTCTTCTCGGCATTCCGACGGCTCAAGACGGCCCAAGAGGCCGCCAAGATCGCCCCACCATCGCCCACGAGGCCTCCAAGAGGGCCCCATGATGACCCAAGAGGCCTCCAAGACGGCCCCAAGAGGGCCCCAAGACGGCCCAAGAGACCTCCAAGACGCCCAAGATGGCCTCCAAGACGGTCCCGAAGCGCCCCAAGAGGGCCCCAAGTCGGCCCAGAGAGGCCCCCAAGACGGCTCCCGACAGCGTCAGACGTGCCAGGAACCCACCAAGATGGCCGAAGTTGGCTCGAAGCTGGCCCAAGACGGCCCAAGATGCCTCCAAGAGGGCCTCCAGGAAAGCCAGAAAAGGCCTAAAGCACTGCTTTGAAGGATTTTGGCATTTGCTTCTTTTCGGCCTTCCGACAGACCGAGACAGCCTAAGAGCCCCCAAAGATCGCCCAAAGATCGCCCAAGAGGCTCCAAGATGGCCTCAGAACGACCCAAGCGGCCCTCAAGACGGCCCCAAGAGGCCCCCAAGACGGCCCAGGAGGCCGTGAAAACTCCCAAGATGGCCTCCAAGACGGCCCTGGAGCACCCCAAGAGGGCCCCAAGTCGGCCCAGAGAGGCCCCCCAAGCGGCTTCCGACGGCGTCAGACGGGCCAGGAGCCCACCAAGACGGCCGAAGATGGCCCTAAGATGGCCCAAGAGGCCTCCAAGAGGGCACAGGAAGGCCCGAAAAGGCCAAACTCATTGATTTCCCATGAGTTTTTGAAGGAGTGTGGCATTCGTTTTTTTCTCGGCCTTCCGACGGCCCGAGACGACCCAAGAGCCCCCAAAGATCGCCCAAGAGGCCCAAGACGGCCCCAAGAGGCCACCAAGACGGCCCAAGAGGCCTCCCAAGACGCGCAAGATGGCCTCGAAGACTGCCCCAACCTCCAAGACGTCCTCCAAAAAGGTCCGAAAGGGTCAGAATGGCCTCTAGACGGCCAAGAGGACCTTCAAGATGCCCACGTGTTCCTCGAAGGCTTTCAAACCGATTCGGGGAACACATGGTCCAATAGCTTGGCAGATCAGGCTTCAAAGTTCGGCCACGTAGGCGCTTCCAAAAAAGCAGGGGGCGGCGATGATACGCCGTAGCCGTCTTCGATGTATTGGCTATGTGGTGATACATACATACATACATACAAACAAACATACATACATACGTACGTACGTACGTACGTACATACATACATACATACATACATACATACATGTATAACAGGCTATGTGGTGCAAGCTATGCGGTGCCCAATCTGAGTGGCGCAAACTATCAAAGTCCACATGTGTGGTGCAAGCGACGCGGTGCAATACATGTGGAACCGACGTGCTCATGTACGTGGTGCGGCCGATGTGGTGCAAGCTACGTGGTGCACTAGATGTAGTCCGATCAATGGCGTGCGAGCTATGTATTGCAGCTTATTTAGTGTAAACTATGTGGTGCAATATTTGCGATGCCGTCCACATGGTACAAGACATGTGGTGCAAGCGATGTGCACAGTCCGCATTAAGCAATATATGTGGTGTAAGCTGCGCGGTGGTGCAAGCTATGTGGTGCAAAATATGTGGTGGACTCGATGTGGTGCAACACATGTGGTGCAAGCTATAGGGTGCATACTATGTGAAACCATACATGTGGTGTCAGTTATATTGTGTGGTGTACGCTATGTGGAGCAATCTAGATGCTGCAAAGAACGTGATGCAAAGTATGTGGTGTAAGCTACGTGGTGCAATCTACGTGGTGTATCCCACCAATGCTCGTATTGTACTTGTCCACCCCACTACTCGCGCAAACGTCCCAACCACCCACCCGCAACCTGGTTTGCAAACCCCATGCGGCGGCGATTGCGGTGAGCGTTTGGCGCTGGCTGGTGCATCTCTGCGGCCGCGACAACCCGCGCATGCACGCGCGCGCAACGGCCAGGCACTGTGGCGCGACCGACGTAGCCGCGGTGACGCTGACCCCTGAGCACATCCCAGCGGGCACTTCAGTGCGAGTCGGCGACTTGGGCGGGCGCGGTATCATGGTTGTCGACAACGGTAGACACGGTGATGAAAATAGCAATGCTGGCGACGATGCTGACAGTGACGACGGCACGGACAGTGACGGCGCGGATGCTGATCACGCCGACGACGATGACAGCGTCCTCGCGCCGGTGATGAAGGTGTTGGAAAAAGTTCGACATGCGCGCGGGGCCGACGCGCAACAGTGGTTCGCATGGTATTATTTGACACGTATCGTGCTCCGCCAGCACGCGCGCAAGGGCGTGCGAATGATTTCGGCATGCGGCGCCAGAGGCCCGCTTGGCAGAATTCCATGAACATGTTGAAAGAAAACAAAACAAAAACCTATGGTCTAAGAATTCGCAAGGGCGCGAGCGCACGCTTGTCTTGTTTGAAAACGGAACTTGCGAAACCATGCGTTTTAAATGTTTGTTGAACACTCGGTTTTGGAATCGCTACGAAACCTTAGGTTGTTGACTGATTTCGGCATTCGCGCGCG